GGGTCGAAACGTAAACATCGAGGGGTCTAATCGTCCTAGGGTCGAAACGTCGAGGGGTCTAATCGTCCAGGGGTCGAAAGGGCGAGGGGTCCAAACGACCTGATACCTACACATCCATGTACGCAGGGCTAGCACTGCTATTGAATTATTACCCGTGGTTTGCCGTTTCCACTGCAATATGCAGTCGAGATTTCGTGTAAATTTTAGATAAATGCTTATATATGTATGTATTTACATAAAAAAAGTCAACATAATTAGGGATCATGAACATCTGAAAGATAGGTGCATTTCAAAAACAAAAACGTACCGTTCCAAAATGTGCATATCTCGTGACTGTTCCGTCATCGATGCACATTAAACAAAAACAGCAATTCCGTAATATATCATTGACTCATTCCTGGATTTGGCTGATGAATTTCAACACTACCAAGTCTTGTCGCGTCTAAACAAACTACCACACGCGATGCTTCAAAATGGCCTGTGATCCATCGACCTTCGACCCAAGCAGTTGTCACAGCGCCATCAGCGATGAAAAGGAGAATGTAATGTCACTGAAATATCCTAGGCAACAAGAAGCTTCGTTCGATTGAACATATCCATCCGCATTTCGACTTCGTATACAGTATTGCCTCATTCTCACACTGAAAAATATATATAATGGCACTTTTTATTTTCAAATCTTTCAGTTGAATTAATAGTTTCCATAACTGCCAAGATCAAGGCGAAAATCTTCTATATTCAACGGGCGAACTACTTTTCTTCTGTGCGTCGATGTTCCAAACATAGCATTGTCATCGAATCGGTCCAGTCTGTGAGTTTTATCATGGCGCAAAATAAGTATGATTTACTTCTTGTAACCACGAAAACAGACAAGACAATCCGAAATCAGCCGTGGTAAGTTGGCTCTCTGAACTTCTAATGGTCATGAAATGTCACTACCACACTGTAATTACAAAGTAGTCAGGGTGTTTAGACGGTATTAAGGTCATGAACAATGTCATTCAAAACATCAACATAGTGCTTACACTCATAGTTGCTGTCGACATAGGAAGTAAAGTAAGCAAATAACACCGAATAAACGACAAGGTAAAGACTATGTCTAATTATAG